ACCATAAGGTTTTTAATGGCGGGTTTTTCACAAGTGAACCACCAGGCCTATCTTAAGAGGTATTTCTGAGTGAACTGAAACCTCCAACCTTTTAGTTAGCAGCTGAACATGTTAACCATTTGCACCACCCAAGGGGAGTCCTGGTATGGCACTATGGGTTAATGCACTGGACTGCAAAGTTGGTTTGAACTGCAAGGTCAGTGGTTCAAGCTCACCAGTCACTCTTCACAATCATTCCTATGTTACAGTGTTGCTGCCACTGTGCCAATCCATCTCATTGAGGGTCTTCCTCTTTTATGTTGCCCCTCCACTTTACCAAGTATGATCTCCTTCTCCAGGGACTGATCCCTCCTGCTAATATGCCCGAAGTCTTATTATCTGTACTTCATTTCAAGACAGATTTGTTTGTTCATCTGGCTGTCCATGGTAATTTCAATATTTTTCACCAACACCATAATTCAAATGTATCGACTCTTCTCTGGTTTTCCTTATTCATTATCCAGCTTTCACATGCCTATGAGGTGACTGAAAATACTGTGGATTGGCTCAGGCATACTTTAATCCTTAAAGTGACATCTGTGTTCTTTAATACTATAAACAGGTCTCTTGCAACAGATTTGCCCAATGCAATATGTCATTTGATTTCTTGACTGCTGATTCCATGAGCATTGATTGTAGAAGCAAGGTAAATGAAATCCTTAACAACTTGAATCTTTTCTCCATTTATCATAATGTTGTTTATTGGTCCAGTTGTGAGGATTTTCATTATCTTTATATTGAGGTGTAATCTATACCGAAGGCTGTCATTTTTTATCTTCATCAATAAGTGCTTCAAGTCTTCTTAGCTTTCAGCAAGTAAGGGTATGTCATCTGCATATTGCAGGTTGCTAATGAGCCTTCCTCCAATCTTGATGCCACATTGTTCTTCATATATAGTACAGCTTCTTAGATTGTTCGCTCAGCACACAGTTGAAATAAATATGGTGAAATGATACAACCATGACACACACTTTTCTTGATTTTAAACTATTCAGTATCCCCTTGTTCTGTTCAAAAGACTACCTCTTGGTCTATGTACAGGTTCCACATGAGCACAATTAAGTGTTTTGGAATTCTCATTCTTTGCAACGGTACCCATTTTTGTTGCCATTAAGTTGATTCTGACTCATCGCCAACCCTGGATAGGACTTCCAAGCAACAACTTGTAGGTTTGAACTACCAACCTTGTGGTTGTTGTTGTTGTTGTCAGGTGCCATCGAGTCGGAACCAACTCATGGCGACTCCATGCACAGCAGAACGGAACAATGTCCGATCCTGGGCCAACCCCACCACCGCTGCCACACTTGATGCCATCAATGATGCCACCTGGCTGATCCATCTCGTTGGGGGTCTTCCTCTTTTTCTCTGACCCTCCATCTTACCCAGCATGACATCCTTCTCCAGCGGCTGTTCTCTCCTGAAAGTATGTCCAAAGTATGAGAGACAAAGCTTAGCCATCCTGGCCTCCAAGGAGCACTCTGGCTGCACTTCTTCCAAAATAGATCTATTGGTTCTTTTGGCAGCCCATGGCACTTTTAGTATTCTCCTCCAACACCACAACTCAAAGGCATCAATTCTTCTACAGTCTTCCTTATTCACTGTCCAGCTTTCACATCCATATGAGGTTATTGAAAATACCATGGCTTGGGTCAGGTGCACCTTAGTCCTCAAGCTGACATCTCTGCTCTTCAACACTTTAAAAAGTTCCTGAGCAGCAGATTTGCCCAGTGCAATATGTCATCTGATCTCTTGACTGCTGCTTCCATGAGTGTTGATAGTTGATACATGAAGAATGAAGTCCTTGACAACTTCAATCTTTCCTCCATTGATAAGAATGTTGTTTATTGGTCCAGTGGTGAGGATTTTTGTTTTCTTTACATTGAGATGCAATCCATACCGAAGGCTGTGCTCTTTGATCTTCATCAGTAAATGTTTTAAGTCCTCTTTACTTTCAGCAAGCAAAGTTGTATCATCTGCATATCGCAGGTTGTTAATGAGTCTTCCTCCAATCCTGACACCACGTTTTTCTTTACAGAACCCAGCTTCTCGTATTATTTGCTCAGCATACAGGTTGAATAAGTATGGTGAAAGAACACAACCTTGTCACATACCTTTCCCAATTTTAAAACATTCAGTGTTCCCATGCTCTGTTCGAACAACTGCTTCTTGGTCCAGGTACAGATTCCTCAGAAGTACAATTAAGTGTTCTGGAATACTCATACTTCTCAATGTTGTCCATAGCTTGTCATGATCCACACAATGAAAAACCTTTGCATAGTCAATAAAGCATAGGTAAACATCTTTCTGATAGTCTCTGCTTTCAGCCAAGATCCACCGGACATCAGCAATGATATCTCTCATTCCCCGGCCTCTTCTGAATCCAGCTTGAACCTCTGGAAGTTCTCTGTCAATGTATGATTGTAGCCGTTTCTGTATTACCTTTAGCAAAACTTTACTCGCTTGAGATATCAAAGAGATTGTCCGATGATTTCTGCATTCAGTTGGGTCACCTCTCTTTGGAATGGGCACAAATATGGATCTCTTCCAATCAGTTGGCCAGATGGTTGTCTTCCAAATTTCTTGTGGTTAGCAGTCTATTTGTTTATCCTACAGTGCCACACCTGGACCATAGCTATTAGACAAAATAAAAATTTGTTCACTTGAAGAGGTGGAGATCATTTATTGAGGAAAGCAAGTTACAAATTGCTGGAACCAACACAACTGGGTCTAACTGCCACATCCGACAATTGGCTTATCTCTGCAACCCACATGGAGAAGTTAAACCCGAGTAGGGACAACGGGAGATGAGAAATAAAGAAAGACACAAGACACATTTGAAATATAAAATAGTTGGGATCACTCTGATGTAGATACTGTGACACTGACCAAGGCAGCTAGTTTATTTAATACACAGCTCAAGGGGAGGTGCTTGGGGGAGGGAAAAGAATAACATCTGGTGTTTTGATGCATGCAGTAAGCGGACTTTGATAAGGAATGTAGTTGCTAGGGAAACAGAGATATAGGGCGGCTAGAATGTTGTGCAGGCTGAGCTGAAGGACATAGCTAAATACAAGGAAAGACCTTGCAAGTTTCCAGACCCATGAGGCTTTCTTGGGGGTAGGGGAGAGGGGCAGGAACTTTGACTAGGAAGTAGTCCGAGTTTCTGGACCACAACTGTTCAGTTGCAATCCTTCGGTTAAATTACCCCCAAGTCAGGGACCTTTGGCTCAGCTGCTCCCAACAGTTAATCATATATGCTATGATTTCATTTTGGTTAAAAACTCATGTGAATGTATGTTGTAGTTAAGTGTCATTGAGTCATATCACTCCTGTATATGGCTTTCACAGAGCGGCCGATGAGTTTGAACCACTAACCATGCAGTTAGCAGCAGGCCAGTGCTTATCCTACAGTGCCACACCAGGACTGTTTTAAAAAGACATAACAGAATATATACTAAAGTATGAATAATAGCAGTGTCTGGGTAACGGACAATGGTACTTTTTCTCTTATCTTCATTCATTCTTTCTTCATTGTACACATATGCTTTTATATGACAATAAAAGGTTATTTTTAAATGAAAAGAACACATGCCTAAAACAGAACTCCAGAGCTTCCTCAAAACCTGTTCCCTCCACTGCCCCCTCCCCCAGTCTTTTCCATCTCAGTGAATGGTTGGTTGCTCCATCTCTCCAAAGACTCATACCAGCAACCTTGCAGCCATCCACCACTCCTCTCTCTGTCATATGCCAGTCCCATGACTTACTTTAAAACATATCAAGAATCTGATCATTTCTCACTGCCTCCACCAGTGGGGGAAAAAAACACCCAGGAAATTCACAGAATGCACACAGATGGCCACTGAACTTCTGAAACAGTGCTCAGTTTTACTGAGCATCAGACACGTGCAAATTTCTTAAATGCCAAGGTGTCTTCTCTGCCTATCAAGTGGGCAAAGATTTCAAGAACAATGATACCCAGTGTTGGTGAGAAGTGTGGGGATAAAGCAGCATTTCCCCACATAGCGTGCAGTGACTGAGGCAGTACTTTAGTGGTTGTGTGCATGCGGGAGTTTCTACAGGGCTGGGTGCTAAGAGCCTGTTCTCACCTCTCCTGGCAGTCCCTTCCTTGAACCTGGGCAAGAAGCTGAGTGTGCCTCAAGACCTGATGATGGAGGAGCTGTCACTTCACAACAACCGGGGCTCCCTCCTCTTTCAGCAGAGGCAGCGCCGTGTGCAAAGGTTCACCTTTGAGCTTGCAGCCAACCAACGGGCAGTGAGTAGGCCCCCTCTGTGATCACAGAGAAACTGATGTCTAGAGAGGGCCTATGGTTAGTCTAAAGCTACACCGTGAGCCAGATGGATCTTTGCACTCCCCTCCCCCAGCTCCGCAAGTACCTCAAGCTCCAGCTCTGACAGTCTTATCAGACTGAGCCCTTGTCTTGCTGAGATCATGTGTAGGCCTCTTTGCCCAGGTATACAACATTAGGTGGATTTGGTGGGTGAGCTCCGAGTGAAGGGGCTCTGGCTTCTGCAAAAACTACTTTAGAATAGTTAGTTACATGCTTTGGGTTGGATCTGGATTTAGATGAGACTTGGGCTCAATCTAAGATGAGAAACACAGAATGCCTTTTTCTTTTCTTCCTTTCTGGAAAAAGGAAAAGGCTATATGCCTGTCTGTTGGTGGAGAAAGAAGACAAGAATGATTTAGGCCCAATCCTCAGAAAGGCAGTAGGCAGTTTCAGGTTCTTTGTATGAAGTCAGGGACATTCCAGCCAACCTACTCCACTCCACGTCTGGGTTGGACAGGAGGCAGAGGGGGTGATGTGGAAGAATAACAAAGGTAACATGTACCTGTCTTTGCTACGTGCAGAACACTGCTGTCACCTCATTTAATGCTGCTGGCAGAACTCTTTGAAGGAGAGATTATCATCATCCCCGTTTTGTAGAGAAGAAAACTGAGGCTTTCTTGCCCAGGGACAATATTACAATAGTAACTTGGAGTCTTCCTCTGCCCAGGTGCTGGGTTTAGCTCTGCACTATTAGCCACTCTTCCACATTTCCCAAAAGGTAGCGGGTAAGATTATGTCCGTATGAGGGGGGCTTCAAAATGTTCATAGAAAAACAGAATGAAAAGATAATAGTATTTTCCCACGAAGGGCCCCCGTGTTTTGTGGTGGGGAGAACTGTGGCCCCTGCTCCACTGAACTACCCTGTGGTGTTTTTGCCCCCACAGATCGTGGCCGGAAGCGCTAAGGGGCAAGTGACCAGAACGGCGGAGCCAGGGTCAGTGAGATCCGAGGTAGGGCCACGGGCGGGGGAGGTGGAAGGAAGGGGCCAGGGAAGCTCGGATGCTGCCACCTGCTGCCTCTGAGCGCCCACCCCTGTGCCCAGGCTGTCAACGGCCCCGAGGGTCAGGAGAATTTTCATTCGGAACTCAACATCTTCCCGCCCGGGCCTGGCGGCTCTGAGGACGCCCACTCCCAAGCCGCCCCAGTGGAGCGCGCCCGCACCCCCAGCGCCTTGGCGCCAGGTGAGTAGCTTTCCCGGGTCCTGGCTGGGAGCCGGGACCCTGAATGTCCGGGCAAGAAGTTAGTCCAGAGAGCGTCTAGTCCACCATCTTGTCCGGAACACGGAAGCCCAGAGAGGTTCAGTGACACGTCTAAAGTCACACAGTGACACGTCTAAAGTTCCTAAGACAGGAACCCGCGCCTAGAACTTCTAGCTCCTCTGTCCTAGTCCTCCAGTTTCCTGGGATGGGTAAGGGTCCCCTTTGCTGGGCAACGTTGGCATCACATACCCTACTCACCGCTGCTAGTTCGGGATTGGGGTCTGGGGAAGAATGGAGCAGGACTACCCTCCCGCCAGCTTCCGACTCGCCGGCTCTACCCGCAGGCTATACGGAGCCCCTGAAGGGAGTCCCACCCGAGAAGTTCAACCACACAGCCATCCCAAAGGGTTACCGCTGCCCCTGGCAGGAGTTCATCAGCTACCGGAATTACCATCACAGCGGCCTCAGGCCAACTCCTGTCCCCACAGACTACCGCAGTTTCAACAAGTAAGGCGGAGCGGGCTCGTGGGTACCACAACAGCAACCTACGTACGTGTACGCACGTTTCTACATGCCAATCTCTGTCCTGTTGTTGTTAAGTGCCGTTGAGTCGGTCCCAACTCATAGCAACCCTGTATGTGGTTTCTGAGAGCAGAAAACCTCAAATTTCTTTTACATAGCAGCTGGTGGGTTTGAACTGCGGAACTTGTAGTTCGCAGTCCGGTGCTGGCATTTTATGTACATTTATTCGGTTCTTGAATAAAAGTATATTAAAGTGTATATACATTTATTCAACAGCTGTATATCAGTATACACTGCATATACATTTCATGTATACCCACCGATAGTGACCATGTATAGGGTTTCTGAGGAGTGACTGGTGGGTTTGAACCACTGACCTTGTTGTTAGCAGTCCAGTGCTTACTCTACAATGACACACCAGAACTCTTAGCAACAACAACTCAATAAATGTATATAAAGTGTATATACGTTTGTTCAACAACTGTGTATCAATGTACATTTTATGTATATTTAATGTGCAGCCCACCCATAGCAACCCTGTATAGGGTTTCTGAGCAGTGACTGGTGGGTTTGAACCACCACCCTTGTTGTTAGCAGTCCAGTGCTTATTCTACAATGTCACACCAGAACTCTTAACAACTCAATAAATGTATGCCCCATACATATGCATTTATTCTACTCAGTAAATGTACTTTATATGCATTTATTGAGTTGTTGTTGTTGTTGTTAAGTGCCGTCGAGTTGGTTCCGACCCATAGCGACCCTGTACAGGGTTTCCGAGGGTGTAAATCTTTATGGGAGTAGAAAGCCTCATCTTTCTCCCGCGGAGCAGCTGGTAGTTTCGAACCGCTGACCTTAAGGTTCGCAGCCCGATTCGTAACTACTACGCTACTAGAGCTCCTTATTTATTGATATAGTCCAATAAATATACTTGGACTAAGTGGATGAACGTGCCACAATATTATTGGATCTTTGCCGTATTAGGGTAGGACACATACTACAACTGGCCTGTTCTACAGATGACAATACTGAGGCTCAGACATATCAAACGACTGCCCAAAGTCATAAAGCAAGGAAACAGCAGCAGGGCTTGGATTCAAGCCTGGGTTTGCCTAACTCTGGGCCCAGTTTCTTGTTCTGCATAATGGCTGTGCGCCGCCTCTCTGATGAACATCAGGTGTACGTTCTTCCTTGGGTGGGGGCCCTCATCTCATCAGTGCTAGGTGCACAGCCTTTTCCTCCCTATCATCAGTGGTTTGGAAGAGACCTGTTCTTGTTGGTTGCTGTAGAATCAATTCTCATTCATCGTGCCCCATATGTCAGTAGAACTGCCCCCAGGGCTTCCTCGGCTGTGATCTTTATGAGAGTAGATCACCAGGTCTTTCTTCTTGCAGAACTGCTGGTGGGTTTAAACACTCATCATTCAGTTAGCAGCAAAGCGCTTAACCAGTTCACCAGCAAATCTCCTTTAGAAGAGGCCTAGAGGGTAACTTTCAGGCTACCCCAAAAGGGGAGTGACAGTAGCATGCTGGCTGCCAGAGGTGACAGTGCCATGGAATGGTTTAGAGCTTGGACCCTCAATCTGGGCTCAAATGCAAACTCCTCGTCCGGCTGTGTGACCTTGGGCAAGCGTCTTAACTTCTCTGAGCCTCCATTTCCTTACCCCAAAACTGAGGCTAGTTATTTTATCGTAGTTATTTTATAGGATTGTTATGAGGATGACATGAGAAACCACAGTCAAAGTTTCTAGCAAGTAATAAACTTTCAATAAACAAATGGGGTCCTTGTGTGGTGCTGTAGGATAAGCACTGGACTGTTAACTGCAAGTTCGGTAGTTCAAATCCACCAGTTACTCCTCAGAATCCATACACAAGTCGCCATGAATCAGAACCAAAGTAACGGTACTTAACAATAAACAACAACAAATAAAGAATGGTGGTGGTGGTGTGATGTGCCCTGGAGTTGGTTCCAACTCAAACCCTGTACAGGGTTTCCAAGGCTTTACGGGAGCAGAAAGCCTCATCTGTCTCCCACGGAACAGCTGGTAGTTTTGAACTGCTGACTTTGAGATTTACAGCCCGATTTGTAACCACTATGCAACCAGAGCACCTTACAATAAAGAATTGTTGTTGTTGTTGTGAAGTGCCACCGAGTCCGTTCCGACCCATAGCGACCCTGTACAGGGTTTCCAAGGGTGTTAGCTATTATTATTATTATTGTAATCCCTGGGTAGTGTATATGGGTAAGTGCTCATAACTAGACTAATTGTTGATGATTTGAACCCACTCAGGAAGAGAAGGAAGGTCTGGTGATTTACTTTTAGAAAGTCACAAACTTAAAAGCCTGATGGCGCACAGTTCTACTCTGCAATACGTGGGATCACCAAGAGTCAAAATCGACTCAATGACAGATGGTAAATTATTATTACTCTTATTTGCAGGCTGAAATCATGAGAAAACTACCAGGGCAGAATTTGGAAGGGGTAAACTTAGCGTTCTATCTCTGGGCCCTAAAACAAGCCATAAGAACATCGAGAAGACTTGGCGCTAGAGAAAGGCCTTAGGGCGGGAGATATATTTCAACAGCAATTGGCTTTCTTGGCCTGATGCTATTTCTGGATATGTTCCGCTGGCTTGGGCTGCATTAAGTGAGGAGGAGGAGGGTCCACAGAGAGGAGGTCCCAGTCCAGCTCTTCTGGCACCTGCTCAGGCCACACATGGAGACCATGTCTGTCAGAAGGCTAGGCACCAGGACCTGGCTAGGTCTGGAGACCAGGCCACATGAGGCAGGGCTGAGGACCTGGGACTGGTCAGCCTTGAGGTAGAATGGCTCCGGAGAGATGTGCTTAGCCACAAACAGCTGAATGGCCAGGGAAGAATTGCATCAATGGATGTTGTTCAAGCCACGAGCCATGGCAGACCTTGGAGTTGTTGCCATCCAGGCAGCACTGACTTCTCACTCCTCCCAGTTATTAAAACCCCCAGAAGACTTTCATTCCTGGCAGGCAGCTTCCAAGCTAGCCAGTTTGGGTCCCAACCTCCACCCTTGCATGACAGGCTGAGGCACATTCTCTGAGAGTGTCTTAGGCAGGCCACAACCCAACCCTCTTTGGGGACAGAAGGGGCAAATAAGCACAGAGAAGAAGAATGGCAGTGTTGGTGGTCAAGCTTGTGTCAGACTCAGGGCTCTGGGCTCTCAGTCAAGGGCCGAACTTGAGGCCTGCTCAGCTTGGAACCTTCCCAACCTGCTCGTGGGGCCTGGCTGTTATTGCCAAAGCTGCGGTGGTCCAGGCAGAAAACTTTCCTCCTGGACCCCAGGCACTGACCCATGGTTTGCCTTTCTGCCCAGGGGTGAGCACTTTCCTCTCCCCACTGGTCCCAGACTATGGAGCAAACACTACATGTAGGGCTCCTTTTTATTCTTAAAAGGATTTTTTTTTTTAAAAAAAAGTTTCTTTTAAAGCAATTTCATATATAAAAAAGAGACAATTACAGATAAAACTAGGGCCTCTTGCCATTGTCTTCCACTCCTAGTTCTCTCCCCAAAGGTCACACTGTTGTTGGGTTGGCATGGTTGATTTAAAATTTTTTCATATAAAATTTTCGAACAGCTACATACCTGTAGAGAGTCCAGGTGTGGCGCTGTGGGTTAATGCGCCAGATTGCAAAGCTGTTTGAACTGCAAGGTCGGTGGTTCAAGCTTACCACCTGCTCCTCAGAAACCCTATATAGGGTCGCTATGGGTTGGAACCAACTCTACAGCACTTAATAACAACAACATACTTGTAGGGGACATGGTTTTGTTTGTGTGGCTGTGTGTATTTTAAAACTTTGCATTTCAATCTGCAAATTGTTCTTTTCCATTCAACACGATGTTATTGACATCTACCGTACTTTATACGGATTGTTTTAGTTCTGTCATGTGAGTAGTCTTCATTTGTTTGTCCATTCCTCCACTGATAGGCACTAAGGTGTTCCTAGTTCTTCATTAATTCAGGCCTCACACTGGCCTCTTTGTGCATATGGGCCAATGCTTTACACATTTTCAGATCAAAAAGTCTTCCAAGGTTGTTGTTGGGCCCTACTGTGGCACTGTAGGATCAGTACTAGACTGCTTAACTGCAAAGTCAGCAGTTCAAACCCACTAGCCGTTCTCAGAAACCCTATACAGGGTCACCAACAGTGGAAACTGACTTGGCAGCACACACTATCCAGTCAACTCCCAACTCATGGCGACCTCCTGCCCAACATAAACCAGACTATTGTTATCCATTAGCTGATTTTGGAAGTAGCTCACCAGGCCTTTCTTCCTTGTTCATCTTAGGATAGCTACTTCGCTGAAACCTGTTCAGTCCTACAACATCACACAAGCCTCCTCTGCCAGACGGTAGTGGCTGCGCTTCAAGTGCACTGACTGGGAATTAAACCCAGACCTCTGAGAGTTCCACCACTGAGTTATGACTGCTTTCTACCTCTAAGGTAGCAACGTTGATTTGCCCTCCAAGTAGCAGCATACATGTGAAACTTTATTCCCCACCATCTTACCAAATTTGCCCCTGTTGTTAAGTGCCACTGAGTCAGTTCTGACTCCCAGCGACCCTCTATAGGGTTTCTAAGGAGTGACTGGTGGGCTTGAACCATAGGCCTTATGATTACTAGCCAAGTGCTTATCCTGCAGTGCCACACCAGGACTCCAAATTCTCCCTGTTGTTGTTAAGTGCCATCGAGTTGGTCCCAACTCATAGCAACCCTGTATATGAGTTCCAAGGAGCGGCTGGTGAGCTTGAACTGCCAGCCTAGTGGATCAAACTGACATTTCGGCCCAGCACATCGACCACAGTGCCACACCAGGACTCCAGATTTGCCCTACTCTCAAATTATTTCATTTTGCAAGTCTCATGGGTGAGAAAAGGAGTTCTGGTAGCGTAGTGGTTATGAATCAGGCTGTGAACCGCAAGGTCAGCAGTTCGAAACTACCAACTGTTCCGCGGGAGAAAGATGAGGCGTTCTGCTCCCGTAAAGATACACAGCCTTGGAAACCCTGTACAGGGTCGCTATGAGTCGGAACCGACTCCACAGCACATAACCACCACCACTGTGGGTGAGAAATGATGTGTCCTTTTGTCATTTTCCTTCCCGATTTCAAGGCTCTTCCTCCCTGTTCCTCTCTCCCTTTTGTGGGTGTGGTGTTCAAAGAGGAGTTGATAAGAGGAAGAAATGCTCGAATTCCAACTCTACCCTTCTTGGGTGTACTTAAGAGAGGCCTAGAGTTTAGCTTGAAGGAGCCTTGGTGGTACTGTGGCTTAAGCACTGGGCTGCTAACCACAAGGTCGGTGGTTCAAACTCACTAGTCACTCTTCGGGATAAAGAGGAGGCTGTCTACTCCTGCAAAGATTTGTAGCTGTGGAGACCCTATGGAGCAGTACTGCTGTGGACTACAGGGTCACTGTGAGTAAGAATTGATTCCACAGCACTGGGTTTTCGGAGGTTTTAATGTTTATCCTAGGACAAGTCAGTTCTAAATTTAAGACTTCAGTATCCTTCCTGAGCAATACACTGCCCCCTCTAGTGGCAGTCTCGAGAATGGGCAGAAAGAGAGAAACCTGTCCAAGGAAGTTCAACCAGCAGCCCACCCTCCTTGACGCTTTTCTTTCCCCAGGACCCCAGTGCCATTTGGAGGACCCCTTGCTGGGGAGATTGCTTCCAGTGCTGGCATGCCCTTTGCCCCAGAGCTCATCAGTGGTTTGGAACTCCTCCGTCGAAGACCCAACTTCAACAGAGTGGCACAGGGCTGGGTTCGCCACCTCCCAGAGTCCGAGGAGCTGTAGACCCAGCTAGAATCTTCAACTCCCCAACCTTGGGGTTCGGGTAACACCTGGAGCTCAGACTAGTGGACACACAAAGCCTTATTGCAAGTGGCATCTAAGGTCACACACTTCATCAGTCACCCCAAAATGGTTCTGCTTCAAAATCCCCTGGGGATGTTGTTTCATATGCCTGAGCTGACAGCTTCAGAATCTCCTAGTTAGGGCTTTTTTGTTAGTAAGCAACTCTGCTATGTGATTCCATTGCAACTTGTCCATGATTGATACCTGTAGGAGTCCTCATCACGGATGGAATCCACCTCCGTGTCCCAACTCCTTCCCACCTTAGTACTCCACCTTGTACTCTGACAGCTTTGATGTTACTTCTGTGGGTTGGGTTTGTTTCTGCTCACAGCAACCCCTTGTGACTGAGTAGAACTCACTACTAGGGTTTCCTAGGCTATCATTTTATTTTTTTTTAACTTTTTATTGTGAATTGAGTGAAGGTTTACAGAACACATCAGTTCCCTATCCAACAATTCACACTCATTTTAAATCATTGATTGCAATGTAACATCCCTTGTCCCACTTCCTCCCTGTGTTCCCCATTTCTGTTCCTCCTTCTTCCCTAACCTTTCTGAACTGCATCCTTGGGGAAATACTGCTAGGCTGTAATCTCCATGGGAGCCAATTGCTAGGTCTTCTCTCCCACAGAGCTAGCTGTTGGGTGGGTTCAAACAGGCAATCTTTTGGTTAGCAGCCAAGTGCTTAACAGCTGCAACACCAGGGCTTATTAACTAATGCTGATCGTTAGAATGTCTTTCTTTTTACTAAGATGCAGTTGGTCTCCAGCCATCTCTTCATGCTCTCAACATTCATCACCTACAGTTTGCTAGACCCTTTGCTGAACCTGTGGAGTGGGTGCTGGTGAATAACCTCACTTTTCACCTAGAGGAGGGAAAGACATTTGGGAAGACATATTTATAAAGCACTGTTGCTGTTGTTTAAGTGCTGTCGAATTGGCACCGACTCATAGCAACCCTGTGTATGGTTTCCAAGGAGCAGCTTGTGGGCTCGAACCATTGCTTATCCTATAACACCATACCAGGACTCCTATAAATCAGTAAGTCACCCTAAAATTCCCTTGTTGTTGCTAAGTACCGTCAAGTCAGTTCTGACCCATAGCTACCCTGCATAGGGTTTCCAAGGAGCGACTGGTGAGCTTGAACCACCAAGCTTGTAGTTCAAATGGCTTTGCAGTCTGGCGCATTAACTTACAGCGCCACACCAAAATTCCCTAGAGCATGCTAATTGGCAATCAAGGACCAAAGTGCTGTGAGGCTGAGCACTCTCCTTAATAAATGGAGAGATACACCATTCTCATAGATGGAAAGATTCAATATTGTTACCATGTCAATTCTATACAAATTGAACTACAGGGACAATTCTAATCATAGTCCTATCAGAAAATGACAAGTTGAGTTTAGCATATATATGGAAATGCAAAGAACCTAGAAAATCCAAAGCAATCTGTACAAGAAAGACAGTGGCAGAAAACGTTCACTCCCTGACTTCAAGACATACATTATCAGAATAACGTGGCTCGGTGTCCTGGAATTACACAGGAAGAAATTGTTGGATTTCTTTTGCTGTGTATATTCTCAACAACAGTAACAAAAAGTAAATTGTAACAACAAAAAAAACCAATGTGGTGCTTGATGAAGACCAACCAACAGATACAATGGAACAGAATAGAGAGCCTAGAACCAGCCCCATTTATACAGGCACTTCATTGTTGACAACTTGACTGTCAAAAATGGTGATGTGTGTTGTGATGCTGGGAGTTATGTCTCCGGTATTTCAAGTATCAGCAAGGTCACCTATGGTGGACAGATTTCAGCAGAGCTTCCAAACTAAGACAGACTAGGAAGAAGGTATAGACAGTCCACTTCGAGAGATTAGCCACTAGTCCTGGTGTGATGCCATAGGATAAGCACTCGACCTCAAGATCAGTTTGAACCACAAGGTCGGTGGTTCAAACTCACCAGTGGCTCATAGGAAACCCTAAACAGGGTTGCTGAGTCGGAACCAACTCAATGGCACTTAACAACAACAACCTTATGAATAGCAGAACATTGTCTGATAAAAAGCTGCAAGGTTGGAAGGCACTCAAAATACGACTCGGGAAGAGTTGCTTTCTCAACATAGTTAAGTGCCATCAAGTCAGTTCTGACTCATAGTGATCCTGTATAGGGTTTCTGAGGAGCAACTGGTGGATTTGAAGAGTTGACCTTTTGGTTAGCAGTCCAGTGCTTATCCTATAGCACCACCTCAAAGTAGAGTTGACCTTAATATGAATGGAATAAAGCTTTCAGGTCCTTCATTTGCTGATGTGACATGCCTCAAAACGAGAAAAAGCCACAAGCATGCATTAATAATCAGAACGTGGAATGTATGAAGTATATCTAGGAATATCATAAATAAAAAATGAAGTGGAATGCATAAAGATGGAGATCTTTGGCATTAGTGAGTTGAAATGGATTGGTACAATCATATACCAAGAATAACAAAATGAAAAGGAAGTATCACATTCATCTTTAAAAAGAGTATTGAAATTTACCAATGCCAATGATGAAGAAATGGGAGATGTTTACCTACTTCTGCAGTTTGAAATTGATCAAACGTGCAACCCAAAGGAGCATTGTAAGTGACTGGTGATAAGAATGTGATAATTGGAAACAGAGGAAGGATCAGATTGTTGGAAAATATGGCCTTGGTGATAGAAAAAATGCTGAAAATTGCATGATAAAATTTTGCAAGATCAACGACTTATTCATCACAAATAATTTTAATGACAACATTAACAGCAATGTAGACTTCACCAGATGCAATGAATACACAGGAACCAACTACAATCAACTAGGTCTGTTGAAAGAGGCTTTGAAATACTTTGAATATCAAAGATCATAGCCTTCAGTATGGATTAAACCTCAATATAAAGAAAAAAATTCTCACAACTGTACCAATAAAAATAACATCATGATAAAAGGAGAAAAGACTGAAGTTGTCAAAGACTTAATTTTGTTTGGATCCACAATCAACACTCATGGAAGCAGCAGCCAAGAAATGAGACATAATGCATTAGGCAAATCTGCTGCACAAGACCTCTTTAAAGTGTTCAAGAGCAAAGATGTCAGTTTGAGGACTAAGGCACACATGACCCAAGCCACGGTATTTTCAATAGCCTCAAAGGCATGTAAAAGTTGGACAATGAGTAAGGATCACTGCAGAAGAATTAAAATACATAATTCAATGTATTTGAATGATGGTGTTGGAGAATAATATTGAAAGTACCATAGACTGCCAGAGCAAACAAATGTTAGAAGTACAGCCAGAATGCTTCTTAGAAGCTGGGAGAGTGAGATTGTCTCTCGTACTTTGGGCATTTTATCAGGAGGAGCAGTCCCTGTAGCAGGACATCATGCTTGGTAAAGTGGAGGGTCAGCAAAAATAGGAAGACACTCCCCTTCCCCTGCTGCCCCCAATGCTATGGACTGATAACTGCAATAGGCTTCACATACCAATTGTGAGGATGGTGCAGAAACAGGCAGTGTTTCCTTGTTATGCATAGATAGGGTGACTATGAGTCGGAATCAACTCAATGGTCCCTAACAACACAACAATTGAGTACCTATTCTATACCACAATATATACTGGATTATGGCTTTTAATTTTTTTTAAATCCATAATTAGTACACAAAAATTAGAATGTCCTCTTTCTCAAAAAGGCAAGGCAAGAGTATACAGTTGAATAGTTATATACATGGAAGATCACTGAACTTAGCAATTAAAAAGCTAGACATCAGGAATCACATATGCCTTTTAGATATATTGGTTACAAATCTTTTACATGCCCCAAAATACACAAAACAAAACCCTCTCAAACCAAACAAAAAGAAAACCAAACAAACTAGAAAGGGTGTAAACATGCTTGAAGTACTCCACATTGCTTCACAATTGATAATACTACAAATAAAATGAAATTTTCTAAGTGCTCCTAGCTTAATTTAAAAAAAAGAAAAGGGATGGGGTGTGAAGCCTGGTAGAGGAAAACAAACCCTCCAAAAGCTCTCCAAACCTAAACAGGGTGACATGCAGGACCTGGACATTTCTCAAGTATACATTTTAGGGAAAAGTGACATGTATCAAATATACATTTCAGGAAAAATGGATTTGTAGCAAATTTTGCCTGTTCTTTTCAAAATGACTTCAAGCTACCAATTTATAAGCACCACGTGTTAAGTGTCTTCTGTGTATTCTCTTAATCTCACAAACCTCTGATGTGAGAGTACTAAACAGGCCTGGAATGAACACAAGTAAAACTGTCTAAAACATTCACATTTACAGACAACTTGTTTCCAACTTCCACTTCACTCACTAGGTTCAGCTACCCAAGAAAAAAGAAAATAAAAATCTAGAAATAAATTAATGACAACATTTGGAAAATTGACCCGTTTTAATTATTTTAAAAACAAAACACATCACATTTCCTTTACCCTCTACAATTCAGTTATAGCCAAACATTCTAAGACCAAACCGATCGTCCTCTGCCCGGCAGCAAAGACTGAAGTGAGATGCTGAAGACACAGGAAGGTGAATGCTAGGATCGGGGTTCCAGCTGGCAGCCAAGTCTTCCTCTCAAACACATTCCTCCCAGGATTTTCATTTACAGTTAATGTGTTTTACAGGAAGTTCTTGAAAATAATTTCAATCCAGACACGAAGTTTGTTCAGTGATACCTAGTTCCATGAAGTTTGCATTTCCATGTAACTGAGAGGAATCGAAAGTAATTTTGTCTTTGTTCTTCTTGGTGGTGTAAAGAAGTAAAACTATCAGCCAGATTCCTTTAGTACAAAATGAGAAAAAGAAAGATCTGGGCCGTGCTGGGTGTGACTTCTGAAGAGTTAATCACACTCATACCACTACAATGATTAGTGCTAGGAATCTTTTTTAGATGATACAAATGAAAATACCCAAATGGACATAAAAATGGTCAAAAGTTATTTACTGCAGGTCAAGTCTCTACCCCGTTTGTACCCCCTCCCTTAAAAAAACAAACAAACAAAAAAAAAAACCATACAAAATGAACATGTTGTAGGGATGGGAACTCTGTTAGACATTCTAATTTGCCAGTCACTTGTCCCCAAGATAGGGAAAGGGAACAGCCATTAGGTTTTATTAGTAACCTTATAGCAGTAACCAGATGTGTTAATGGCAGCTGATTGAGGTCCATCAGTCCTTTGAACATATGAAGGGAAGCATGGCTGTAGTTCTCTGACTGCCCACATCTGCACACATTCAGCTACCATGGAAACTATGGAGGAGGAAAAAAATATATTTATTCCAAGATTCTCTTAGTGGGATTTTCAGGCACCCTTTTTCCTGTAGAGTGGTGACAATGTGCTAGGGACTGCTGTGTTTCCCAGCGTGGGCTCCCATCCTCTGAGGGTCCTGAGAAGGATAGTGGATTGGTCCTGGAGCCCTCATGAAAGGAGGGGGTGGTCCCATTGGGTGGAACATGTGTGGCCCAAAACCTGCAGATGGGAGAGAACAAATCTGTCAGGTTTACTGTTCTCTTGGCAATATTTGACATCTTGAGATCTTCTGAAGGTCAAAACCACATATATAATGCTGACAAGGAAGAAAACAGTAGTTCACAAGAATTGTACTGGTGTCTCTACCTGTATTACCCCTTGGTTTTGGAGACCATTCCCTGAATTCAAGTTAAAAAAGAACAACAAACAAAACTCCACAGGACTCGATATAGCTGTTAACCTGCTTTCTGAGCCCTGCTCTGATGCACACGAGAACTGGCTACCTGTGATGGATTTACATGGTTAACTCTGTCACTGACATTCTCTAGGCACACTACCCAACATGCCAGTCTTGAACTCTTCAGCACTGGTCACCAACAAAATAAAGAGTATGAGTCAAAACATTAACTCAATACCAAGCACACTGTCTGCTTCATCGGATACTTTGTGTGTGTGTGTGTGTGTAATCAGACTTCCCTGAAGAAGGTGAAGTGTCATGTCCACTTCTCACACTTCGGGTAAGAGTGCTCTACGGCCATCAGTTTGGGTCTAATTGAGAACAGGGTACAAATCTCTAATAGATGACTGCAGTCTACTAACTTCTGCTCTGATTAGACATATACTTGGATCTCTGGAAAGGTCACGTGAAAAAACAATCAGAAATGTTAACACAAACTAGTTTTACTTGCAGGCTTCTACAGGGCAAACACAAAGAATTTAGAGTGGTTAGACTTGACGGGTAGAACATAAACTTTCATAAGCCTTTCTCAGGGTTCAGGAAATCCTATTTATTTACTAAGAAGGAAGATGAACGTTACCTGGGGGAGGGGGTGGAGCAATGCCGGGGGGTGGAGGCAGGGTGATGTTGACCACGGCTGGAGGACCACTGGGAGGTAGGTTAAAGTAGTTGGCAGAGGCTTCTTCTTCTGCTGCAGGGGGAGGAGGCAGAGCTGGAGGAGAGAAAACAGCCAAGTGTAACAAGGAATACAATTATGCACCACTGTTTCCACCCACTTTTAGATCCTCCCACATCCTGCTGGAGGAGGCAGTTCAACACCTCATCCAACAGAGGAACTTCAGGACACACGGAACACCTGAGGGCAGCAAGCTACAGGGCTGGTAGGAAGTCTGCACTCACCTCCTGGCAGTCCTGGGACAGGTTCCAGTTTGATTCCAGAGTCTGTGGTTCCATCCTTCTCTTTTTCTTTGCCTCTGGCTGCTTGGGATCTGGAAGACACAGACACATATTATCAGCACTTTATCCGCCTTCATCTCAAACCTCTGCTTTTGCGGTTCTGCACACAAACGAAGTTCCTTCACTTTTTGCTTCCTCTTCACTAAACTCTCTTTCCCCATAAATGTTACACTGCAGAGTAAACAAGAGCAAAGATTTTGAAGACAGAAAGACAAGGCTTCCAACCAACCTGCTAAAATTGTTGTGAGGACCGTGCTTAGCACATACAAAGTCCTCCAGAAGGGGAGCTGATATCAATGATTCTTCTCCCAGGTTCCAACCTGGAAACTCATTTCCCCTTTGAACTTTCAGGGCATTTTACCAGTGTCTTTTTATGCAATAATCACTTTCAAAGTTAAATTAATTTTAAACTTTATTTTACTGTCTCCACTAGACAATCAATCTCTGCAGGGCAGAATCTCAGTATGATTCATTTGTAGCACTCAAATCTACTTCCCGTTTCCTGGCCTCATACTTGGCCTGTAACCCTAATATCCCTAGGAATGAAGTGCAAGACAGAGACTGAAAAGGTAATTCTCTTTAAAGAGCCTATTCTTTAAGCCTATTTGTTAAAAGCTTACTTCTTGTTGTTAAGTGCCATCAAGTCAGTTCTGACCCTATAGGGTTTCTGATGAGCAGTTGGTGGGTTTGAACAGCCAAGCTTTTGGTTAGAAGTTCAGTGCTTATCCTATAGCGCCACACCAGATAATGGAAGTTTCCTGAAAATCTCCACAGAGGTACTTTGAAGTCGTCTAAGTCTCACCTTCCCCATTTCACGTTGAGTCGGCGGCCATTGACAATCAACTTATTAAAGGACTTTTCAGCAGCTACTTCAGCAGCCTGTCTTGTGGCAAACTGAATGAAAGCACACTGCTGTCTCTGCACAACAGTGATCGTCCGGATCTCTCCAAACTGGTAGAAATGATTTCTGAAAAGATGCAGCCAGAGAAAAACATGACTCCATTACATACAGATACTCCAAAAGATCACAAATGATTATTAACTCCTTCCCTGACTCACCACTAGGCAGGTGGGCCTCAGTTACTTGCCTAATTAAAATCACAAACTAAAGTCACAAAAGTCACTTTTGTGCCTCACAGCAACCCCACAGGTTTCTAAGGCTATATAAATCTCCATCTATCTCCCTAGGAGCCACTGGCAGCAGTTTCTTAACATCAGCACCACCAGGGCACCTTCCTGCCTGGCTGCTTTGCCCTAATCTTGGTGCTGTCCACTGAGAGAAGAAAAGAAAATCATGAGCCTGAACAGAGGTTGCTAAACACCTCAGGAGTTTTCACATGGAGGAAAGGAAGCTCCAATTGGTTCCTAAACCCTATGCCCTCTATCAGCGGTTAGAAAACGCCCACGGGCCAAGAATGTTAACATTTTAAAGGGTTGTAAAACATTAAAAAGAAAGATAAAGAATATGACAGAAACTGTATATGGCCTACAAGTCTAAAATATTTACTATATGATCAATTATTAAAGGTCTCCTGATCCATGGGTCAGCCAGTTCAGTTAGCCAGGGTTTAATGAAGACAGGCTACTGAGGACAGTTTTAACTTTATCTCTTTGCTGTTAAAGTGCTGTTGAGTCAGTTCCAACTCATAGCAACCCTGCACAGGGTTTCCGAAGAGCAGCTGGTGAGCTTGAACCGCCAACCTTGCGGTTCAAACCGACCTTGAGGTTGAGTGCTTATCCTATGGCGCCACACCAGGACTACTTTAATAGACGTAATTTCCACCAGTATCTGTGCAGATGTCTGTCTAAACATAACACAAATTTAGACAACACCAGTCTCTTTGAAAAGCACCATTTAAACTACAAGTTTCATAATCTCAAAGCTCCCTGTTCTCTGCATAATTAACCATGCTTAGACACGACCCATCCTTTAAAAATTCTACTGGTTATTAGGCCAAATAGAACCCCAAGTACATATTACATATGCATGGATGGAGTAAGCACTGTTGATTTCTACTCTGACAATATACATAACAATTTTATAAAGATTTTAGTCAGCATGATAAAACTATAGTGGTTACAGAAAAACGTACTCTGTATAGAATTATAAAACAAACACATGCTCGCCTGTGTTTTTACCAATAAAGTATCCCAAGGCCATTAAAAGCTGAAAGAGCTCATAAAATTATACCCACAAACCTTAGGTCTGTCTCAGTAATGGTATCGCCAAGCCCACCAACATATAGTGTGGTGATAGTCTTGTCCTCTGGTGGGTCCAGACGAGGCATTGTTGACGCCCGCTTTAGAAGCTTATCTGCCACAGGGTCGTTGATGCCGTAATATCTGTCTTTGATATTCTGATCAGCAAGTGGGTCATCTGGGTCTGTAGGCTTCTCATGTCTAGGAATCAGAGGAAAACATGCATACAAGTGAGATAAAAGGAAAAAGTTTTTAAAACACTCATCATCCAATAGTAGCTTCACTTTTAAAGCCACAAATTCATACCCTGAAAAGACTTTTGAATTAGAGACCACGTCATACTGAAATAGATCAAAAGAGTTACACAGTTACTACCCAAATATCATACAAGGACTTCTGGGTCAGAACTGACTCGACCACACTTAACAAGAAGTCATTTAAACAATTGTCTAGGGTGCCAGAGTATCCATATGAAAAAAATGCTTGTGGTATTGTTGCTCAGTGCCGTCAAAGGGTCACAGTGACCCTTTATAGGGCTTCCAAGGCTTTAAATCTTAAGAGGAAACAAAAAGCCTCATCTTTCTCCTGTGGAGCTGCTAGTGGGTTCAAACCACAGAACTTGTGGTTTGGAGTCCAGTGCTTATCGTATGGAGCCACCATACTCCTTCTTTTAGTCTAAGGCACCCCAAAACTAAAGAGAAAAAATTATTACCGTTTTTAGGTCAGTGTTTCTTAATGAATTTGAGGTCTTGCATTCCACCAAGAATCTGTTTAAAGCCATACACCTAGCCCTAGAAAAAGGCATATATAATGTGTGTCTGTGTTGGGGAGCCAGGGGGAGTGTTTACCAACCCCCAAGTTATGAAATCCCACTCCAGCAGCTTGGTAGTCTTGACTGATACAAATTTACATACCCTTTATGGAGCCTTGATGGTATTTTAGGATAAGCCCTGGACTGCTAACCATAAGGTCGGCAGCTCAAAGCCACCAGCCACTCCATAGGAGAAGGATCAGGCAGTTTGGAAACCATACAGGTTGCTATGAGTCGGAATCAACTTGACGACAGTAGGTATGTGTTATTATTATTTTTTTAATATACATTGGGATTCCAATCATGTACACCATGACAGTGAAGCCGTATGTTTGAGGTAGAAACTTCTAAAGTCAACATCCGTATTCTATGCACAGCAACTTAGTTTCCAAGGCTCAGTTATAAGACACTATAAATCACTCAACTCTTCTAAACAAAGCAGTTCCAAGACATGAGATACAACAAACTAGCTGTATGATTTTAAAGCTGAAAATAGTGGAAATGAGCATCTTCCACTTGCTGGATGATCAAGCATCTGAAAGCAAACACGGAGAAGGTAGTTCAGCTCTTGCCTGTAGGGACACTCCTCTCCTCTCTTGCACTCTCCTTTCACCCAGAAGGAGCAAATATGGGGTCGGTTCCTTTTGTAGTAGGGTGTGGTCCGGGCCAGTTTGAGCAGCATATCACTAGTGGATGTAGCTTTCCCCAACATGCCAACTGGCCGTGTCCCGTCAGAGTTAGAAATCTACAGAGAAACAATACATTCCAAAGGTGAGGCTGTGTCACTTCACTAGGATTCTTGTATCAAACATAAAACTGTATCAAGAAAGTAGCAGCACACCTCTCTCTCCATGTTCTGCGTATAGTATTCCTTGTTGACATCTGACTTTGGCATGTCATCCTTAAAAGACAATCCCGCATCACGAACCTGGATGGGCAAGCCTGGTGAAAAAGAAAGGAGGGAATAAAATACAGGACTATTTTAAGCATTTTTATACAGGCTGACCCTAGATTTTGAACGAGATGCATTCCTAAGTGCAACTTCAAGTCGAATTTATAAGTACCTTGGAAGAGGTGCAAACAGTTATTTGGCCTTACTTTAATGTAAGAAAAGGATCACAGCCTTTTTTCAATGATTTAAAGGCTGCACTGCAGTGTGTAAAGGTGACTGTGATGAAGGATGCTCATAACCTGGGGAGTTACTGTGCTGACTCTGCAGACCAACGATCCATCACTCTCCTTCCTCTCCCCACACCCTATCTGGTAACAGAGGCTTCCTGACATTCTCATTCACTGTCTTAGCACCATCAGTCTCACACAGCTACAGAGCGTTCTAAGAAATGACCCAAATTCCTAAGCTGTCATTATATTTGAGGAAAAGAATGTTTTAGAAAAGCTTTGACTATATTAAATTTAATCTGTAAATTAATAATGTATCTCAATTGTAATGTAAGATTTAAACATAAGCTAAAAACATAAAACTGAGTTTGTTTTTAGACTGTTATGGTTAGGTGCCATCGAGTTGGTTCTGACTCATAGCAACCCTATGCGCAATGGAACGAAACACTGCCCGGTCCTGCTCCGTCCCCACAATTGTTGTTATGCTAGTACCACAATAACAGTCATTTAAGAGTCATTCTATTCAAGAATCAGAACAGCTTTTTAATAAATATGTAAATATTAAAACTATGTAGCAAGATTCTCATTAACAACTTACAATACCTCTTTCATTCTGATATGCACCAAAAACCCTTGTTGAATAACTATTATTCTTTTATAAACAAAATTAACCACTGTTTTATAAATAGAAACACTCTCCAAAACTATTATTTTGAAACTTTGTTGTTAAGTACCATCAAGTCAGTTCTGACTCATAGCGACCCTGCATAGGGGTTTCTGAGGCTGTAAAACTTAGCGAGAGCAGAAAGTCTCATTTTTCTCCTACGGTTTGAAACTTTAGCAATATAATAATATAACCCTAACAACACAGCTTATATAAAAATATAAAACAGAATTAGTCTATGAACTTCCAGTTTAGGATAATGGGGAAAAACTTTGGATCTAAAAAGAAGCCCAACGGAAAGAAATTATCTATCATGGAATCAATACTTTTTAACCTCACTGTCTGTACAAACATACCAGGAGACTTCCAAAAGTTAATGAAACAATGGAATTAAAAGATAATGGAAAAAAAAAAAAAGGTAATGAAATTTTTCCATTCACTTTTTAAAAGCCCCTCACATATATGGGGAAGGTTAGGACGATTCTCATTTTCTTATGTTCTAAGAATGGCTTAGCATGTTCTCTTCCTGAGAAAAGCAGACCACAGTGCAAAATTGGGTCAGGACCAGAGATAGGGTGAGAAGTGGGAGACAAAAAGACTGGCTTGTTGCCTAGGGCACTTCTGTCTCAATATTTGCAGATCTATCTGACTGGGCAAATATACCGTATTCTAGGTCCAAGAGGCAGGTCTGACAGACATTCTTTAATTTACTGCAGGTTTGGCATACTTCAGTCTTCTTGAAACGCATACGGACCCCAGGGCACCAGCGGAACACTGTGAATGGTCTGGCACAGATCTGAAACACAAAGCAAAAAAGCCAGAAGGTATTAATGGCCCTGACCGGGGCAATCAATTCAGGGGATTTAGTAACAGAGAATTTGAAGAACAGATTTCTGAATTTAGAAGAGACCTTAGCAATCATCTTACCAGACTGAATGTTATCTGATGCTCTATCCTATTTACAATGTCCTTTCCTAGTTGTTACAAAATTCATACAACAGAAATGAAATACTCAAAAGGTCTCCCTACCCTAGAGATAATGACCATTAATAATCTGATCTTTAACTATTTGAGGGACAGAAGGGGAGTGGGAGAGTGTCATATACTTTCCTCTAAGAATCTTAAGACAGCTATAACCTCCCCCTCCTCAGCTAAAATTTACATAATCATACAGTGTTTGGGGTATAAACTCAGGGGCTTCAAAACCCGTCCAAGACACTACGTTAATAACCGGGACATCAGAGGAGATTTCTTAGCTCCTGCAATAAACAGCTAACAGTCAGTGAGCACATACATGATACATGAAAACAAACAGTAGCACTGTTTTGTTATCGCCATGTGTCCCTGAGGTGATTCCAACTCATAACTATGCTTCTTCTGTCAAGTTGATTCCAACTCACAGTAAAGCTGTGTACTTCTCCATAGGCTGGAAATCTCGACTTTTCTCCCTCAGAGCAGATGGTGGGTTGAAACTACTGATCTTCTGGCTACAAGCCCAACGCCTAACACACTGTACCACAGGGCTCCTTTGTTACAACACAGAGCAGCCCTATAGGACTGCCTAGTATAGAACCACCACACAGTTTCCTAGACTGTAACCTTTTAGGAGCAGATCACGGGGTCATTTCTCCCACAGAGCCTTTGTATGAGTTCAAAGTACCAACCTTTCAGTTAGCAGCCGAATGCTTAACTGTTGCATCACCAGGGTTCCTTCATTTACTTTTATTTGAGCATATGGAAGGCAAATTTGGAATAGAAAGGAAATTAAAGTAAAATTATTACTCTTTAATAGGCATACTTACTTTGCATTCCTTCCCGTACTTTTCTTTGGTCTGAAATACAAAAGTATAAAAAAGAAGTGACATTAACAGAAAAAAAAAAAAAAAAGACCATCTAATTTGGCTACTTCTTCCCTAAATACGGAACCAAAAATGTGTCGATATATCCCTGGTATCCTAAAGGAGAAATAAAATCCTTTTGAGGGTAGGCTAATGATAAAGGAAGAGGCTTCAAAAAAGTTCAACTAAAAATGACATTAAAAGATAACAAAATGTTCCCATGAACTTTCTGAAGCCCTTCATAATTTAGTCACCTAAGTGTTATAATCTCACAAGAGTCTTATGGATCTAATGCCAGGTGTTGCTGGTGCTGTTAAGTGCTATGGAGTTGGTTCTGATTCATATTGTTGTTGTTAGGTGCCATCAAGTCGGTACCGACCCATAGCGACCTTATGCACAGCAGAACGAAACACTGACCGATCCTGGGCCAACCTCACTACTATTGCCACACTTGAGTCCATCGATGCTGCCACTTGGCCAATCCATGTCGTTGGGGGTCTTCCTCTTTTTCTCTGACCCTCCACCTTACTAAACATGATATCCTCCAGCGACTGGTCCCTCCTGACAATATGTCCAAAGTATGAGAGACGAAGTTTGGCCATCTTGGCCCCTAAGGAGCATTCTGGCTGCACTTCTTCCAAAACGGATCTATTGGTTCTTTTGGCAGTCCATGGCACTTTCAATATTCTCCTCCAACACCATAACTCAAAGGCATCAATTCTTCTATGGTCTTCCTTAATCACTGTCCAGCTTTCACATGCATATGAGGTTACTGAAAATACCATGGCTTGGGTCAGACAGCACCTTAGTCCTCAAGCTGACATCTTTGCTCTTCAACACTTTAAAATGGTCTTGTGCAGCAGATTTGCTTAATGCAACACATCGTTTGATTTCTTGACTGTTGCTTCCGTGAGTGTTGATAGTTGATTGAAGAAGAATGAAGTCCTTGACAATTTCAATCTTTTCTCCATTGATAAGAATGTTGTTTATTGGTCCAGTGGTGAGGATTTTTGTTTTCTTTACATTGACATGCAATCCATACCGAAGGCTGTGTTCTTTGATCTTCATCAGTAAATGGTTTAAGTCCTCTTCACTTTCAGCAAGCAAGGCTGTATCATCTGCATATCGCAAGTTGTTACTGAGTCTTCCTCCAATCCGGATGTCACATTTTTCTTCCTGTAACCCAGCTTCTCGAAATATTTGCTCAGCATACAGGTTGAATAAGTATGGTGAAAGAATACAACCTTGTCGCACACCTTTCTTAATTTTAAACCATTCAGTGTTCCCATGTTCTGTTCGAACAACTGCCCCTTGGTCCAGGTACAGATTCCTCATGAGCACTATTAAGTATTCTGGAATACTCATACTTCTCAATGTTGTCCATAGCTTGTCATAATCCACACAATCAAAAGCCTTTGCGTAGTCAATAAAGCACAGGTAAACATCTTTCTGATATTCGCTGCTTTTAGCCAAGCTCCATCGGACATCAGCAATGATATCCCTTATTCCACGCCTCTTCTGAATCTGGCTTGAACCTCTGGACATTCTCTGTCAATGTATGATTGTAGCCATTTCTGTATTACCTTTAGCAAAACTTTACTCACATAGGGTATCAAAGAGATAGTCTGATGATTTCCGCATTCCGTTGGGCCACCTCTCTTTGGAATGGGCACAAATATGAATCTCTTCTAATCAGTCGGCCAGATAGTTATCTTCCAAATTTCTGATTCATAGAGACCCCATATAGTGTTTCCAAGGAGCGGCTGGTGAATTTGAACTGCTGTGGTCAAATGCTTATTTGGCAATGCCACACCAGGATTCCAGGTGAGAGCATGTTATTTCCACAGCCACAACTCTTAAGAATCATTGCCGGCTTCAAAGTTCTCTACTAAGAACCAAAATTCCTAACGGTTTTCAGGATCCCCAAAATGAGGTAGGATTCGGCCACGGCCTGCCCATTTTACAAGTTTAGTCAGAAGGCAATTACTATAGACTCACCCTGTGCTGATGCCCTGTATCTAGAAAATATGCTCCCATATGCTCTTCAAACATCTTGAGCATCAACACGTTATATGAGATGGATCACAATACAATAACTTAGTCCTAGTCTAGTTGTTACTTGTTAAGTGCCAGAGTCAGTTCTGACTCACAGAGACCCTGTATAGGGTTTCTGAAGAGGAGCTGGTAGGTTTGAACCAGCTACCTTGTGATAAGCAGTCCAGTACTTATCCTACCAGGATTCCAAATATTAATTGTTAACTGATACTAATTTCACCCTGAGTTTTAAGGACAGTAATGCTGTGCTGGAGTCCTGTGGCGCAGCAGGATAATGCACAGGACCTACCTCACCAGGTACTCCTTGCAAACCCGGTACAGGGTGGCTGTGAGTCAGAACCGACTGGATGGCACTTAACAACAACAATGCCATGCTCCACTCCCCACTCTCAAGACCCACATCCACATACAACAGAGAAAACACTGGTGCTATGCAAACAAATGCATTTGACTGGGAATCAGGGAACCGAGATTCTAGTACTAGTTTTCCTCCTAACCTGCTGAGGTCTCTGGAGTCAGAATATTTTATTTTAAATTCCACCTCTACCCCTATTTGCTATGTCAAAAAACATGCTTCACATTAATAGATCTACCTCATCGGTAAATGCTCAACAAAAATTAGCTATTCGGTTGACTCCTACATCACAGCACTGCTGCTGAGTACCAAAATGAAATGATATGCATGACTTCTTTGCAATTAAGAAGCGTCCACTCACCATTCGGATATATGGGTTTTCTCCAAGACACGTCTGGCACAGAATGGGGAAGTCCTGGTGAAAATGGGAAATCTGGTTGAAGACCAAATTCCGAAGACCCTGCCACCTCTGCCCCACTCGTGGGGTCGGGGAACGGGGATGAGGGGTGGGAGGCCGGGCAGGAACCCAAAGTTCAGCGCGCGTCCGGCTGAGGGAGGGGGCGCTGTCTGCACTTCCGGCAGTCGGCAAGAGCAAAAACAAAAAAACCCACTCGAAAGGTTGGTGTGAGCAGGGATGGAGTGAACACAGACCCCGGAGCGGCTAAGCCTTCTGCTCCAGCCAGGTTAGGCCGCGGCGCTCGCTCCTGCCCGGAATTCTCTCGGGCACTCGGCAGCCTCGCCCTGCCCGCCCTCGTGAAGGCCAGTTTCGCCACCTCCTTCCGTCTCTTTCCAGCGGGCACACTCACCGCATCCTCCCAGTTCTGCCTGTTGTAGGTGTTGGAACCCAGAGAGGTAGCCATCTTGAGCGCGTCCGGGAGCAGCGGTGGCTTCCGAGTAGGAAGAGAGGACCGCCACAATCCCGTCGGGCCCAGAGGCAGGCTCCCGGCCTGTCTACGTCTTATTTCTGCGTCTAGTGCGCCCTCCGGGGCGGGCCTTGTGCGTCATGACGTCGCCTGCTTTCAGAATTTCTTCACTAACAATTGGTGTTCTCATATAGCGAACAGTGATGCTGCTCTGTGGGTCTCTCTGTGTGGCGTAGAGTTTGTTCCTATTTGGAGTGAAGAGCAGCCACAAGTACAACTGGCCTATTTAAAAACTAAGTGAAAGAATAAAAGAACAAGTAATAGATTTTAAACAAACTTTCCACTATTCCTTGCCTTCTTGTTGTTGTTAAGTGCCTTCAAGTCGGTTCCGACCCATAGCGACCCTGTACAGGGTTTCCGAGAGTGTAAATCTTTACGGGAGTAGAAAGCCTCATCTTTCTCCCGCGGAGCGACTGGTAGTTTCGAACCGCTGACCTTAAGGTTCGCAGCCCGATTCATAACCACTACACTACCAGAGCTCCTTAGATATATATATTTCTCATACTATAACCCTTCATGAAAAAAAATATGAACACGTTCACCTTTAGCTCCAAATACACATGCACAGCCTTCTATTCTCTGTGACATTAGTCTGTATTCAAATTTTCTCTGATCATTTGCAATATACTATATACCCTCACAACCACTCATTTGTCAGTTTGTCATGGCTTGTGTGGTGGTTTATGTGCTGCTGGAAGCTATGCCATGGGTATTTTAAATAGTAGGGTAGCCATGACAGACTGGTTTTGGGGGAGCTTCCAAACTAAAACACACTAGGAAGAATAGGCAGACCAAATGTTAAGAATAGCAACAGAACATTGTCAAGATATAGTGGTGGAAGATGAGCCCCTCAGATTGGCAGGAACTCAAAATACAACAGAGGAAAAGCTGCGGTGTCCTCAAAGCAGAGTTGACCTTAATGACTTGGATGGCTTAAAGCTTTCTGAACCTTCATTTGTTAATGGGACACAACTTAAAATAAGAAGAAACAGCTGCAAACATCCATTAATCATCGAATGTGGAATGCCTGAAGTATAAAAATCTAGGAATATTGGAAGTTATCAAAAATTAAGTGGAACACATATTGATATCATTGGCATTAATGAACTGAAATGGACTGAGACTGACCATTTTGCCTCAGACAATCACAGTTTATTATGCTGGGAATAAAAAATTGAAGAGGAATGGCATCGCATCTATCATCAAAAAGCATTTCAAGATGTATATTGAAGTATAGTGCTGTCTGTGATCTGATAATATCCATATGCCTACAAGGAAGACCAGGTAATACTACCATTATTAAAAATTATGCAACCACCTTGTGTAGCACTGTAGGATAAGCACCCAACCTCAAGGCTGGTTTGAATTTTAAGGTTGGTGGTTCAAATTCACCAGCTGCTCCTTAGAAACCCTATACAGGGTCACAATGGGTTGGAACCTATTTAACAACATGTTAAAACAACAAACAAAACCAATGGTGATGGAAAAAAACCAAACAATGGTGATGAAGAATTCTACCAAATTCTTTAATCTGAAATTGATCAAACATGCAATCAGGATGCATCCATAATTACTGGTGACTGGAATGTGAAAGTGGGAAACAAACAGAAAGCATCGGTGCTGGTAGTGGTGTGCCAACAAGTTGGTTCCAACTCATAACGACCCCGTAATAGGGTTTTCAAGGTTATAAATCCTTATGGGAACAGAAAGATTCATCTTGTCCCCGACAGAGTGACTGATAGAGTCACACTACTGACCTTGCGGTGAGTAGCCCAGCTCATAATCCACTACACTACCAGGACCCCCTTAAAGAAGAAGGATTGTTGTTGTTGTTAAGTACCGTGGAGTCGGTTCTGATTCATAGTGACCCTGCACAGGGTTTCTGAGGCTGCAAATCTTTACAGGAGTAGAAAGCCTCATCTTTCTCCTGCAAAGCAGCTGGTAGTTTCGAACTGCTGACTTTGACGTTAGCATCCTGATTTGTAACCACTACGCTACCAGAGCTCCTTAGAAAATATGACCTTGGTGACAGAAACAATGCTGGAGATTGCATGACAGAATTATGCAAGACCAATGACTTATTAATTGCAAATACCTTTTTTTTTTCTTCAGGAAAATAAAAGGTGACTATACACCTCGACCTTACCAGTTAGAGTACACAGGAATCAAACTGACTATATCTGTGGGAAGAGATAATAGAGAAGCTCAGTATCATCAGTCAATGACTGTGAAACAGGCCATCAGTTGTTCCTATGAAAGTTCAGGCTGAAGCTGAAGAAAACTAAACTCCATGATTGCAACCTCCTTCATGTGCTATCAGTTAACAGTATTTACCTCTATTCACTCCCCCCACCTTTTTTTTTTTAATGTACACAAAAACATGCAGGAATATGTAATTGTTTAAACAATCAAAGGGCCTGTTTCTCAAGCCAGCCTCCTGGCTGCCAGCACACAGCCTTTCTCTTTCCATGAGTCTCGAGTTCTCAGCTGCTCTATTTCTTCATGCCATCACCTCTCCCTCCATCTCTGGTGTCTCTGTTTCTCTGGTTAGGATCCCAAGCTCTGCTCAGGCTCTTTCCTCTTGATGGTGCTAGGGTCCTCTGTTCCTGGAATGTAAGATTAACTACTTCCCCTTTTGTATTACAAATCTTCTCCTTTATAGTTGTAACAATTTCAATTAGTCATAACAATTACTCACTGTTGAATCAAAAGAATCCTATTATCATCTCCTTTCACCAGACCCATCTAGATAGACAAGATGAAAACTATTCAGTGGGGATTCTACATCCCTTCCAACCCCCGCAAGCTCTGAAACTAAACTCACTCTTTTTTTTTTTTTAACTCTTTCTTGAAAACTTGTAAGCAGCCACTTCATGGCTTTATAAAAACCCCTCCCCATTTTAGGTAGCCAATGTCTAAGTTGTCCATCCCTATCAACCCTGTGTACGGAGGGGATAGGCTTGATCTTTAACCCCTTCCCTCTCGATTAGCATTTTGAGCTACTAGATCCATAAGTAAAGGTCAAGCTCATCAAATTGTATCAATTTACACTTGCTTCCTGTTATCAAATTTTTTAATCTCCCTCTAGTCAAGTTCTGATCATCAAGCCATCCAAACCAGGTCAAATGGGTACTATCTGCAACTTTGGGCATTCTTGTGCGCCTCCCACCCCCCCACCCCCACCCCACTTCATATATATAAGCTGGACGCTTAGCTCTCAGCTCTAGCCCTCCATGGTTTGGTCAGTGCCCATGGGTTTAGGAGTTCCCAAGTTTCCCCAAACTTCGAACCAACCAGCCCTTCCTCTTCTCTCTCTCATCTCAAGGTCGACAGGAGTCCATGGAACATGGTCGAACTCAGCCTATGTCTTCATTATTGCCTTTCCCCCACTTCCACTCACAAGTAGACCCATGCAGTAACCAGCAAGCTTACATGCCTGCTCATGTGTTCCCTTTGAGTTTCAGTCTTGCTTGTTCTTGTAATAGCCAGTCTGCTTTTTTTTTTTTTTTTTTCCCCTGCGGGTCTTTATTTCAAAAAGTACCTTTTGTCCCTCTAGTCACTCGAGGTTTGTCTGCATGTCTTTTTTTTTTTTTTTTTTTCCCCTGCTGGTCTTTATTTCAAAAAGTACCTTTTGTCCCTCTAGTCACTCGAGGTTTGTCTGCATGTCCTTTCAAGTGGGAATGTCCCCCCTCAGAAGGTTCTGAATGGGCCTCAGGATTCCACCTAAATCCCCATACATTACAACGGCTCCACAAGAATACTATTTCACTGGGCAAATTCTAGAACCCCCTTTTAGGTATTCCAATCCATTATAGGTTGAAGATGGGCTTACAAGCATTCTGTAATCATGTTTCCTGATATTCTTTTCTATCCCACTCAAATGTCTATTTTATAATAGTAGGCAAGGGAAATCAATATTCACAAGACAGGCAAGCACTTTATTTTCCCTCTTTCACCCATTCAGACTATGCCTTGATCCCTGTATCATAGAGCCCTGTTGTTCCAAGGTTGAGTATGCATCACTATTTACCTATGTCTCATTTAGCCCATGCAAACCTACCTAAGTGATCCCCTGTCTTCCTTGTTCTGCCACCCACTCCTCCTTTGTATATTGCCCTCCCCATCACCTGAGCTATGATGTGACTATCCCCCAACCTGTGCCTTACTGTCCCCTCCCTCCCACCCCAACAACCAAAAAAGAATTTTTTTCTTTTAGTATGGACATCTTTGCTTAAGCTTTTACAATAATGGTCTGCTGCAGTATTTGTCCTTTTATGAGGAGTCCTGGTGTGGCTCTGTGGGCTAATGCGTCAGACTGCAAAGTCATTTGAACTGCAAGGTCAGTGGTTCAAACTCACCAGCTGCTCCTTGGAAACCCTATATAGGGTCCCTATGGGTCGGAATGAACTCAACAGCACTTAACAACAACAACAATTTCTCTCAGCATAATGTCCTGAAGATTCATCTATGTTATGAGGTGTTTTGCAGCTTCATTGTTATTCTTCAAGGTAACCTAGTATTCCATTGTGTTTGTAAAACTTGCTCCTGAGCATAGAGAAGCTAAAGTAAAAAAATGATGTAAAGAAATGATGAAGTAAAAAGCTGAACAGAAATTTCAAGGGGCTGCTCAAGAAGACAAGTGAAATAATATAATGAAATGTAAAATGACCTTGAGTTAGAAAACCAAAAGGGAAGAACACACTCAGTATTTCCAAAGCTGAAAGAATGGAAGAAAAAAAATTTAAGCCTCAAATTACAATATTGAAGAATTCTATGGGAAAACTACTGAATAAGACATAAAACATCAAAAGGAGATGGGAGGAATACACAGAGTCATTGTACCAAAAGGAATTGGTCAATGTACAATCATTTCAAGAAGTACAATATGATTAAGAACTGATGGTATTGAAGGAAGACGTCCAAGTAGCATGGAAAGC